TCTTCGTCTTCTTCGTCTTCTTCGTCTTCTTCGTCTTCTTCGTCTTTCGTCGTCTTCTTCGTCTTGATCGTCTTCTTCGTCTTCTTCGTCTTCTTCGTCTTTGTCGTCTTCTTCGTCTTCTTCGTCTTCTTCGTCTTCTTTGTCTTCTTCGTCTTCTTCGTCTTCTTTGTCTTCTTCGGTTTCTTCGTCTTCTTCGTCTTCTTCGTCTTCTTCGTCTTCTTCGTCTTCTTCGTCTTCCTCGTCTTTGTCGTCTTCTTCGTCTTCTTCGTCTTCTTCGTCTTCTTCTTCTTTGTCGTCTTCTTCGTCTTCTTCGTCTTTGTCGTCTTCTTTGCTCAATTCAAATGATTTCAGAACTCTTGCGACTGGTCCCTCACAGCGACTTCGAACTGGGCCACCTGGCCCCTCATCTGATGCCATGCCCGTGGCAGGATGGGTCGAACAAACGACAAACAAACGGTGTACGACTAGGATGTTCCGGCGTTCGCTTCTTGAGAAGAAACACCCTAAGTTGGGAATCCTAAGACAGTGCCTGACGCCATCTCAAAACTGCTGACAGTCATGCACAAACCTCACACATGTTTTGCTACTGAGTGTATATGTGGGCTTCCTGTCCCAACATATTGTATGTTGGTATATGTTGGTCACGAATCAAAACCTCACACCAATGTGATTGGGGAGCTCAATGCTTGTCTTTTGCTGTATTTTGGATTCACTAGCAATCTGTCAGAAATACTAGACGTTGGAGCCCCTAATGTGTACCAAAGAAAGCAAACTTCTGGATACTAAGGCAGGCCGTCAGAAACCAATTTGATCTCTCTCATTGTGCCTTCATTTGGCTCACAAACTGAAGCTGGCAGAATGGCTGTGCAAAAGACAAGGCGGCTGCCTTATGCATTGGTTTAATATGCTGCATTTCAATCCAATCCGCCCTTTGACAGGAAAACCGGCCACAAAACTTCAATGAGGTCTGTTACAACTTGTACTTGGGTGAGGCCAGTCGAAGCTTTCGACCGACAGCACCTGCCAACGCGGCGCGTCCTTGTGCTCCAACAAGCGCCCCATGGCCTGGAGACCGACCCGTCCGCGGTTTGAGACCGACCTGCTCAGGGTCAAAGCCCCTTGGGGACCGACGCGGATGCGACCTCCAAGGACGCAGGAAATATGCGACCGTGACCTATGGGCAAACCTTCTGCTTTGAGTGAAAACACTGGAGCAAACCGTGTTGCGTTTGCCCAAACTTGCCCTTTTGGCTTCTACAAAAAAGAAATCCATCCCAAGGATGACAAGGATGAACCAGGTCTTTTCTACCTTTCAAACCGGGGAGCCAACATCGCCTTTGCGAGGGCAGGACATAGTAGAAGTGTCTTTAAGCCATCAGCTGGAACAAAGGGTTTCTTCAGTTGACCCAAGCTCACAAGCTGAACTCTCTTTGCCTTTGTCCATCTCTCAAGCTACAAGTCCAAATCAAACAGCTCACACTGTCACGCTGCACATGATTCAAGTTGCTGCTCTTTGAATGCTGTGCACCTTCCCAGGTCCCACCTTCAGCTCCACTTGGTCAAACATCGTTTGACCCGATGCACTCGCCTGGCCAACAGGCCGAGGCCAGCGATCAGCCAATTTCCCCCGTCGACCCTCCGACCTGTCCCTCCCTTCGGCGCCTCCACTGCATCAACCAGAAAGGAAGGACAATGGGCGTCGCGCATGGCCTGAACTTGAGAAACTGAAGATTCGCTCGAAGCAAAAGCAGGATGCAGTCATTGGTTTGCTCGCGAGGCGGAGTTTCCATGCAAGTGGTGGTCAATGAGATGCCCCGTAAGCATTCAATTGTTTCCGGAAAACCCGGAAAAGGGGCATCTTTGAAACCCATTCTCCAATGTCTGAGTCTGAGGAGAGAACCAGCGCCACAACCTCTATGACGGCTGGGCCCTGAGTGAGAGCCATTCAGCCAGGTGAAACGAAATGCACCTTGTGTTTTTCTGTCACTTAGGAAGAACTAGCATCACAACTTTTTATATAAATGATTGAACAATAAGTCTTTACCTTGCCTCCAGTCTCCCTATTTGTCCAACGTTGAATTTTAAGGAGTCCAAACAAGATCGCTGATTTATGTTTCATCCTTGAAGACTTCGAGCAAAAAAAAGAGTCCACGCTCAGAACTGAGAGCCCTACGCTGGGAGCTGTCACTGACGCGCTCGTCCCTCTGGAGTTGACCCCTGAACCTGACACAGCTGACTCCGCCGAACGTCACCGCCGAACGTCACCGTCGAACGTCACCGCACGACGGTGGGTGGCAAATCTGGTAAACCTGTCGGTGAACCCAAGCAACGAAGCTCTGGAAATGCTTGGAACTCTGGAAATTGCAAACCCTGATCAGGTTTTGGGGATAATCTGGGGCACTCTGCGAGCTCACCCCGGGCTCCGATTAGAGAAGCCCGCTTAGAATTGAGTACGCGAAGGCCGCCAAGTACCTAGAAGAAGCCTAAGTGCAGTTTTGTGACTAAACCAGGTTGACAAGAAACCGCGCGCGAGTGCCGTTCTCAAAGCCGATGCGCAGGCTCGTGAAAAGTTGAGCCAGGGACCACAAGAACGTTATTTTTTGCATTCAAGCAGGTACAGGTACGTCGGTGAGCGCCCCCAGGGATGTCAGTGTTCAATGCAAGGCTCTTCGTTGGGTTGGCAGCTTGCGTGAACAACCAGTCCTCTGCTGTCCGAAGCGATCTTTTGAGTTGAAAGTGCACACGCGCGCACACACACACATCTGCAAACACATCTGTGTAAATCTGGCATTGCGGCATTGCCGTCATCACGATGGCTCAATAGGTAAAAAACATCTCTTCAGCTCAATAGACCCAACTCAACTTCAGAGACCAAAGGAGGGCAGTCAAAACCCTATGACAGGTGCGTCGGTGGTTCCTGGACTAGCTCCCGGCCGTATTTCGCGCCAGCATCTCAGTTCTCAGCATCTCAGTTCTCAATCACTCGCTTTAATTTACAGATTACGGCACGTGTGTGTGTGTGTGTGTATACGCGCGCGCGCAAGTCAGACCAAGCACACAGGCGAGGCACGCCGAGCAGAAGGGCACAGCCTAATGCGTCTATGTACGACGGGGGAGGCACCCCGCGCGGGGCTGGGGGGGCCAACCGTCAGGATGATGTAGAGAGGAGCGGAGGCCGCTTCCACCCAGAGAACAGGGAGTGGGAACGGGAAAGCCTCCGCCCGTCGCGCAGATCGATTGACAGAACCAGTTCTTGGTTCCCTTAGCTGCTGGATTGCATCCACGCAGCAGTTTGGCCCGCTTGACTGTCGGGGCTCAACTCCTCAACGCCGTACTGCGACGTCCACGTGGATTGCACTCGGACGTTCAAGAGCCTCCATCCATTCATTTGTGGCTCTTCTCCGTCTCCAACGTGCGCCCGTAGGAGCTCAAGCGGATGTTGGTACGGCCGCTTGGGACGGGTCTTCTGCCGACCGTCATCAGTCAAGGCCTTATCGCTGTAATTATGCGTTCGCATTGAGAGCGTTGAGCCCGACATTGAACAGGCACCCTGTGGCCTTTTGTTCTGACCTGGCATCAAATCCTCAGGTCTTTGTTCTTTGTAGCGACCGTAGTCCGTCTCCACGACGTCAACCTCGCGAAAAGGGGCGACGTTTAAGCGTTTAGGCTTTTAGGGTTTAGGGATTCGCCATCACCAGAAACTCAAGGATCTCCAGGAACTGAACGACCGCCAGGAACTCGGTGATCGACAATCAAAAAAGGACCAAAAGCACGCGCGCTTAGTTAATAAGTAACAAGGCCTTATCGGGGGAATGTTTTCGTTGCGGGTGAACGGTGAAGCCAAACACAACAGCCAGACAAAACAAAAACGACAAACCCAAACCAAAAAAACAAGCAGCCAAACCCAAACAAAACAAACAAGCCAAACCAATACGAAACAAATCAAACAAAAACACAAAACAGTCAGCCTAACCCAAACCAAGCCAAACAAACAAACAAAAAAAAAGAAACAACCAACCAAGCCAACGAACAAAAACAAAAAACAAAGCAACATATATAGCCAAGCCAAACCAAGCGAAACAAACCAATCAAACACACAAACCAAAACAAAACCATCAAACCAAATCAATCCAAATGAAACAAAACAAGACAAAACAACCAAACAAACAAACAAACAAACAAACAGCACAGCACAGCACAGCACAAAACAAAACAAAGCAGAACAAAATAGAACAATACACAAACAAAAAAGAACCCATCATTCCAAACCAAGCCAAGCCAAACAAGCAAACAAATACATACTGTAAACAACCAGTCAAACAAAAAGCAAAGCAACAAAACAAAACAAAACAACCAAACAACCTAGCCAAGCGAAACAATACAATCAAGCAAGCAAAGCAAAACAAAACAAACAAGCCAAGCCAAACAAAGCAAACAACCAAAACAACCCAGTCAATCCAAGCCAAGCCAAGCCAAACAAACAAAGACACAACCAACCAACCAACCAACCAACCAACCAGACAAACATACAAACAAACAAACAAAAACAAACAAGCAAGCAAGCAAGCAAGCAAGAAAACAAACAAACAACCTCGGCTTCTTCTCTGGATTCTTGTTCTTGTATTCCAACTCACTTCTGTGATCATGCACTGCACTCAGCACCAGTTCACATTTATCACACAGCCTGCCTCCAAAGCACTTTACTCACACTGTTTCCACCAGCTGCATTTACTCCATTCACAGCCCCTTCATTCACTAACAGTGCAGTTTGGCGCAGTTCCATGGAAACTGCACTGCGCTCACTGCACTCTAAAAGTATGACCATCCCCGTTTTGCTTGTCTAAGTATTGCTCGGACAAATAGTAACCCCCTACAGGTACGGCCTACTCTTGCAATCTTGAAACACACGACAGCGGCGGATGACACTCGGTGTCATTGCCTGACAAGAGGGCTCTCGCTCCAATGACTTCTCTCAGCTCCTGGTTCAAGAACTCTGTCTGAGTACGGCGTAAGGACAGGACAAATCCACTGCGTCTGAGCAAACCTCAACTGCCGTGTCAAGTGCTGAGTATCTTCTTAGCCAAACGTGTCGCGCACGAAGCACAGCCAATCGCGAAGGCGAAGCTCAAGCGCAGTGAGCCCAGCCCAGTCCTTCTTCTCCAAGTCTTCCAAGTCAAATTTTTGCAGAAGGATTGACACAACGCCTCCACTCCAGTCCAAAGTTCCCGTCACAAGTTCGCTGGAAAAAACAAAACCCAAACACTCTAGCTATGCTTCAAAGAATTTGACTCCTCATGTCAAGCACAATGCCCATGACCAGCCCCCAAGCCTTCCCCCAAGGTGTAGCCATCCGACGAGGCATCAAAGACCTTGGTCCGAAGCCAGAAATGGTGGGCATCATTCCGATCCAATCACAAAATTCACAAAATAAAGTCTGGGTCTTTTCTGAGTTCAACAGCCGCGTCTCGGGTGCCACACATCGGCTCTTGGGTGCAAACAAAACCATCCAGAAGCCAGCACCGCTGAGGGACCCCGCCCTCGTCCGCCCGGAACGGGAGATGTAGCCGAGGCTACACAGTGCACCCAGCACGTAGGGGTTCTGCGGAACGAGAGATGTAGCCGAAGCCCCCTGCTGAATCCTCCACTGTTTCCACATGTCCAAGTATTT